GAAGGAAGGAAGGAAGGAAGGAAGGAAGGAAGGAAGGAAGGAAGGAAAGAAGGAGGGAGGGAAGGAAGGAAGAAAGGAACACAGCGGGAGGGATATAGGGGAGAAAAAGAATATTTTAGATTTTAGTAAAGTGTATATAATATATATATTATATATATGTAAAGGCATGTTATATGTGCACACACACATATACCACATACACATACAGAGTATTCCTCTGATTTACTACCATGGTAACCCTTTCAAAAAAGAAAATAAGGTTAATCTGGCATAACCTGGACTTGGTGAAACCATATTAGCACTTTCTAATTATTGCTTCATTTTCTAGACTTTTCCCAGGAACCTAAGTCAAGCTATCTGGCCTAAAGTTTGCAGGCTCCTTCTCTTCCTTCAGAAAAAACAGGGCATTTGCCTCCCTCGAGGTTTGCAGCACCTCTGTCATTTTCCACGACTTTTCATATATCGCTGACAGTAGTTCCACAATCATATCCTCCAGTTCTCTCTACACATTCACCTGGACCAAGTGCCCTGAATTATCAAGGGCAACTAGGAGCTCTCTTCATATGCCCTGACCTCATCTCAGGTATCAACTCTCTGTCAACAATTTTTTCCCTATAATTTCTGGTACAAAGGTTGCTCTCCTCACAAGGGAAAACGAGCAAAATGAGAAGTCAGTGGTTCTTCCCTCTTTCTATTGCCAGTTGTCACTGTCCAATCCACCCCAAGCAGCCATCCAGTCTCTTCTTTGATCCTTTTCTTCTCACAAATACAGCTTAAAAAAAAATCCTTTGTGATGTCCATAGCTTCTCTTGCCAGCCTGAACTCATGCTGAGCTTTAGCACCTCTGATAGTGGTTTTCCTAGTCAACCATACCACAGACTCCCATATCCAGTCTCTGTTACCTGGCCTTGTTTTAATTTTCTAAACCTCTCTCCAATACCTGGGCTCAAATACCAGCTCCCTCATTTATAAGCTGTATGACTAGGCCACATAAGCTCTCTGTTCCTTCATATGTAAAGCAATAATGCTTACTTCACAGGATTTGCATTGAGAATCAAATAATATTTCATGCAAATGGATATACAAATGTCAGCTCTTATCCTAAATGTGCTTCTGAAAAATGTTTGCTGATTGGTTTAAAAAAAATGCCAAATCATTTTAAATTCAGCAAGAAGGCTGACGCTCCAAACAAATCCTACAGTCAGAGGTGTACAGGAGTCAGCTCTAACTGGCTCAAGAGAGCTGATTGTGAAATTTTCAATGTGAGCATTTATAGCCTGAACATCAGCAAAGGCTACAAACCAGGGCTTGATTTATTGTTTCATTGATTGTCTAGACTTAAGAAAGTGTTAATAATACAGATTAAACTTAAAAATGTATGTAATGCTTTACATCCCCCCACAAGAGACAATTGTTAAATATAAACCAGCACACCCCTGCTTCTGGTAAAGCTCCTTATCATTCAAAAATTAATTTTATAAAATGATTATAGACAGATTTGCATCTTCATGTGTAATCATATTTTATTATGCTATGTTATGGAAATGATTATTTTATTCCATAAATTAAAAATAAATAAAATTATAAAAAATGTTTAAATAAAACTATTTCATAATGATAGCCTTCAATTTACCTTTTCTTTAAATCCTTTTTTTTTTATTCCCTGTTTGCATTAGGCAAAGCGTAAGTGGGAAAGGAAACTTCACTGAAGTTATCCAGAGATCAGAAGAATCTCTTACTACCTTAGCTCAGTACAAAATCATTCTGTGATAAGGTTGTGGAGATTCTTAGTCATAACTCACTGAGACTGAAAGGATTCAGGGATAAGACGAGTGTTAAGCTGAAAGGAAGCTGCTTGCTGGAGACAAAAAAAAATACAAATGAGAAGGAAGAGGACGCTATAACTCAAGAAAAGAAAAGGAAAAACTCAAAGGTGAGCAGCTTTGCCTGGCTAAAATGGGAGAACAGGGATATAGACATAAGCACATTAAGAGATGATGTCAACTCAAGAAGGCTGGTGGTCTTACAGCAGAAAGCCTTGAAGGCCATGTTCAAAACTTTTTTAATCTGATTCAGATCTAGATTGCATTAGATGCTACCATGCATAATAATAACAACATCATAATTAGTATTCTACGTTAATTTGTCACCTTTTCTCATTTATGACATTTTTCTTTCAGTGACACACCCACAGACATAATACAGGACAAGACCATTCTGAGTTCCAAGCAAAGCCCCTTACCTGCTGGTTCTGATAGGCTGTGACTGTGGTGAAGACAGTCTCTGGGAAGTTGAAAGTCTTCACACCATCCCCCACAGGGACAGGCTTAGTAGGAGAGAGGTCACTACTGAAGTCTTTGCGGATCACATGGACTCGGGGCTGGTATTTGTGCATAGAGTGCAGGATAATCTGGAAAGAGAAGGAGAAGCATTGCCCAGGGTAGATAGCTTTCCAGGTCCTTTCATAATTGTATAGATCATGTCCTCAAGTCACAGTCTAGAGCTTAACCATCAGAAAGAGGCTGGTCACTTTCTAAAGGATTAGCGGTGGCTGGACTGGAGGCAGGGAAATTTGGGGCCAGCAATGTTCTGGAAGGTAAATGGTATTATACGGGACAATAGGATATCACTGTTCCATCCAGGGAATCCACAGGGATTACAACATACTCTCTGTAATTAAACACAAATGTTTAATGACACTGTTGTGGTCCCAACTGACTGTGATATCACGCCAAGAGAATGCTTTACATCCTCTGTCTTGTGGGCTTATTACCACCCCCAGATCCAGTTACTCAATGCTCTTGTGCATAATTTCACACTGTATTAATCTGCACTGGTTTATGTCACTGTTGAGTGTTCTCATGTCCTCTTAATGCATTTCTTTCCTGTCTCCCCTGATAGATTCTAATTTCTTGGAGGGCAGAGATCATCATTTTAAATGAAGGATCCAGTGCATCTGTCCATCAGAACAAGGTGGAAGCTCAACGATGTTTTGCCAAAGTAGCCTGTGTATTGTCTAGTTTTCCCCAATCATACAGGGAAACCTCAAGGCAGGTTCCCTCCCTGATAGTTCTGTCAAATCCAACTGAGCTTCCAAAAGTGCTAGTGGTTCAATCAAGCTGATTCCTTGAGATAGTGCTGCTGTTGTCGTAAGCGGTAACTTTTACCGAAACTGAATTTTTAAAATATATTTGTCTTTCTTCCTACCTAGACTGTAAGCCCTCTAAAAGCAGGGGCCAAGAATCACATTTCTTTGTAATATTCCACAGCACCTAGCAGATATTATATATTCTGGTTAATCTGTTTTGATTTGTAACACAAGAGAATAGATAAGAGAAATGAGATTTCATTCCACTGTTAGAACTGTGAAGGTAAGAGATGTATCTGTTCTGGCTGAGAACCTGAAAACAAGGAGGTGATTGTTAAGCAGAAGAGGACATAACTAGACAAATTTTATCAAAGTCTGCAAGTGGGACAGCTGTGCAGTAGCAAGGGGATGAGGAGGTGAGAAGTTAGAGGTCTCCTTGACTCACATGTCCTTGGTCATCCAATTCATTGTTGGTCAGTTTGAGCTTGTCAAAACTGACCACCTGCCTCATCCATGTGTCTCCAGAGGCCAGTGAATCAGGATGGATATAAACTCTCGGGGGGACGGGGGAGTCAGCATTGCCGGCCACCATCCACTTGGAGCTGTGATACACATATCTGAGATAGAAAGGAAGAAAGGAAAGATTCAGAGGCAGAAAGTGGAAATCATTTGGGGTAAAACAGGGCAAATGGAAATGGGTAGAAAGAAAGAGGAAAAAAAGCCAGAAAAATTGGAGACAGAGACAGAGATAAAGAGAAACAGAGACAAAGAGATGAAAAGGGAGAGAGAAAGAGAGAGGGAGAGAGAAGGAAGGAAGGAAGGGAGGAAGGGAGGGAGGGAAAGGAATGAAGGAAAGAAGGAGGGAGGGAGAGAGGAAGGAAGGAAGAAGAGAATTCAAAAACTGGGGAAAATGAAAAAGAGAGAGAAAAGTAAAGGAATATTTGAGGTGGAGAGGGACTTGGGGTTACTGAACAAAGATATAGCTCCTCAGGAGGGAAGCATTCTCCATGTTCCCTTCCCATTCTCTTCCCCTCCCTTTGCCATGCATGTAGACACATCCACACACGGACACACAGACACAGGCATGCATGCACACACGTGCGCACACACACATCCTGAGCCCATATGTGTAACTATGGGCTAAAGTACTTTACTGCAACCTTTCACCTTTCAAATGCAAACCAGATAATCCCTTGGCCACTTGTTCGGGATCTGGTTGCTTATTAAAAACATCTTCTCCCTTATTCTCTTATAAAACTCAGCCATGTGCAAAGAACCACCAAGCCCCCCACTCATTAACTATTTCCTTACTCTGAGTCTGGATTTTTGAGACACTCCTAGAAAAGAAGGAGGGAATTCAATAGCCCAGGAGCTCTGTATAGGGTCTGTTCTAAGAAATTCCACCAAATGAGGCTTCCCTTTACACTTCATTATCTTTTGCATCCCTTCAAATGATGACTATTAGGGAATATTCCATTCTTAGTATAGAAGAGGGTCTGACTCCTGGGTCTTCCTTGCAGCATACAGATTAGTGGAAATTTTCTTTGCTCCTGCTTCTCTTCTATGCTGCCTTCCTCTAGAGAAGGGCAGGTAGCAACAAATGCTGCCCTTCTTGTAACCCGGATCAGATCATTGGAGAACCTAGTTCCCAGAAGGCCCCTGAGGTAGTGAGCTCTCCATCCCTGGAAGTCTTTGAACAAGGGATGAATGATCACTTCCTAGGAATATTAATACCTTTAGTCTTTTCTCATAAATCTTATTACTAAGCCCACTCACATTAAACTATACTGGTAGTCCTGATCAATTAAGGAGCTAGATCTAAACACAGCTCTTTCTGTTTCTCTTTTGTAGATCTAAAGTATGGTGCCTCTCTTGTGCCCTTAACCAGCTTTGCGGACTTCCCCTAATGCTGATCATAACCTGCCAGTTTGACCATAGCAATACTGTTACATCCATTTCTACCCACTACCCACCCAGCTAGCTCTGCTAAAGAAAGCATAGGATTGGGAAGGACCTCTGGAGTCCAGCTGGTCCATATGCTCCCTCAGAAAAGACTGCCTATCAACCAGGCAATGCAACAGATTTCAAGTCTTCTCTTAATGACTCCTAGGGAAGGCTGTTGATTAACCTGCTTTACCATCTAATACGTCTAGGGTTGGTGATTCTATCCTCATAGGTACCCTAACCTCAACACAGATCACAGCCCTCCTGATACAACTACCTTCTTCATAATTCATACTAATAAACATTCCTGACTTTTTTATACTTCTTTACGTTTCATACAAGGTCCTCCTACTGCAAACAAAACCTTTTGCCTCTAACTTGGGGAGATAAAAAATAGACAAATTCCTTTCCTCCTTGGAATAAACCTTCCATATGGTTATTTAGAATTTGTTTGTTATTCATTTGGCATTGTTTAATGTATTTATTGGGCCATCCCCTATCCTTCTCTTATTCTGGATAAACCTATCTTTGTCTCATTAGCCTTTTGACTAAGCTCCACTCACTCCTGTTATACAATCCTGGTATAATTCCAGTTAGCAGAAGCTAAAGGACAATATTAGGTCACTTCATCATTCCCTGGCCACTAATAAGGATTTGGAATATGTTCTATTTCTTCCCCTTGATACAGAGGCATAGCTAGAAATTCTGGCACCTGGGGCAAATTTAGTTGATGCTGCTGGCCTTCCCTACAAGGGAGCAGGGAATGGGGAAGTAGAAACCCCAGAGGCTACTGCTGGGGAAATCACTATGTTCTTCTATCACTACTAGTCTCAAGCATCTTGAGTAACATAGGGTCCCCCAGGCCCAGCAGCACAATCGAGACTGTGCACCCCAGATAGGTATAGTCAAGCTAGCACCAAGTCAAAAAAGTAGGCCCTAGAAGAGTAATGTTATAGTGATGGGACCATGAAGTGGCAGGCAGCAACACTGGAATGGTGGAAGATTGTGAGGCACAGAAGACCTTAGCAAGAAGAAAGCAGCCCCTACCATAGCAAAACCCTGAAACAAAGCCCCAGTCACTTGGTACTAAGTACAGCTCTGCCTTGCCAAGAAAGTATGTATCATCCAGGGCTTATATGGTTATGTGTTCACATATCATATGATTTTTTTTTACAGAAACTTGTTTGAATGTCCTATCTAGTTCATGATTTCTGTACAGCAAACTGTGAGAGTGTTTTGTTAAATTGTCTCAATGGTTCACATACCATCTATAACAATGCCCACCATTCCACAAGATGGAGTTCTCATTACCTGTATCTCTTATTATCCACGGGCACAATGTCCATTGCTATGTAATACTGCTGGTGAGGATCCAGGCCTGTAATTTTCACTCTCATAGCTGGAAACATCCGTCTATAGAAAGCAAGAAAGAATACAAAGAAATGCAGAGGAATAAGATAGTGAGCAAGAAACCTGAGATAACAACAGTAACAATATTGTGAATAACCATAGCATTAATTACACTTTTTAGCCCTTTAAGGCTTGGAGAGTGATGGTAAACAACTAATTTGAAATTACAGAATCAAAAAATTTCACTTAACATTTATGATATCCCTATCAAGTAGCCATCAATCCCTTACTCAAAGACTTCCAAGCGATGAGGAACTCACTGCCTCCTAAAGTAGTCCATTCCACTTTTTGACAACTTGGTGACAGAACTTTTTTTCCTTGTATGTAGTTATAATCTTCCCCTCTGCAGCTTCTACCCATTGCTCTATGTTCTGACATCTGGAGCCAAGCAGATCAAATCTAAATCCTGATCTACTTGGGAGCCCACCAAACACCTGAAGCCGATGATAACATCCTTTCCTACCCCATCCTTGAACCTTCTCTTCTCCAAGTGAAACATCTCAAACTCTTCCATCAGTCTTCATATAGCATAATCTCCAATCTACTCACCATCCTTGGTTACCTTTTTCTGGACATGTGCTAGCTTAGGATGTGCACCCCAGTATCTTCAGCCTTGTTTCATAACTTTTATGACTAAGTCCTGCTCACTCACATTAAACCATCCTGGTAGTCTTGATGCAACTCCAGTTAGCAGAGGCAAAAGGAAAATACTGGCTTACATTATCACCAAACCCCTTTTGTTCCTCCCCTGGCAACTAATAAGGATTTGCAATATTTTATATTTCTTCCCTTTGATACAGAGCCATAGCTAGAAATTCTGGTACTTGGGGCAAATGCAATCAATGTCCTTCCTAAAATGCAGTGCCCCAAATTTGAGTAGTCTCTTTCCTCGTTATTTCCAGACGGATAATAAGCCATTATTTTATCACTAACTTAAAGAATTTGATTGGACAGAATCTTTGGTTTGTACTGTTTGAATCATCATTACCTTGGATTACCATGCTCAGTAAATATGAAAAGGTCAGACATTCATGTACTGCCCCTTTCTACCCTCCTTGCAAGGCTCACTAGAAAACAGCATTATGATCTTTTCAATCAGAGCTACCTCCAAAATTCTATAGCCTTCATTATCTGTACTTTTTATGGGTCACACATCATATCGTACAATGTGATACTATCTTTTCTAAAATGCATATTCAGTTCATTAATCCTCTTCTTGTAATGTCTGTTTTTAGGGATATATATACTCCCCTGATGACTGCTTTAGCTGCATCCCAGAAATATTGGCAATTTTTTCATCATTGCCATTTTTCACACTATTATTGTTTCTATTATTTGTTTTTTGACCCATTCATTATTCAAGATTTCCTTGTTAAGTCTCTGTTTGGGTCTAGTGTTGTCAATGTTTTTATGTGTGTTGGTTTCATCTTGCCCACTAGATTATAAATCCCTTGAAGACAAGAATGGTTTCTTTGTATCCGATAGAATGCTTTGAACATTCGGTGTGATGAAATGGAGTGGAAAGAGAACTGAACCTGGATCAAATACTACCTTGCCATCAACTACCTGTGAGTGTGATCATGGGTAACTCACTTATCCCCTGTAATCCTTAGTTTTCTTGACTGAAAAATGGGGATGATGATATCAAGCCTCTCTGCTTCCCAGGGTGATTTTGAGGCAAGCACTTTGTGAGCTAGAGGACACTATATAAATGTGGAATCTGGTGGATATTGCTGCTGCTGCTGCTGCTGCTGCTATTTTTGTTGCAGCATTTGGTAGCTGTTCTACAGACGCGCTGAATCGACGAAGAAAGTCTCATTCTAAATGGTCCCTTGAGGAACGAAAGGTAGCAACGAAGGCACTGACATCCCTTCCCCTTAACCAAAGTGCTACCAAAGTTTAAGAAGAAGCATAAAACTGTCAAAAAACATGTCTTGCTGATGACCTTCGGACTCTGTCAACGTGTGCGTCAGGGCGTCAGGGGAGGAGCAAAGCTGAAGCGTAATCAATGGGGAGTGAACTCAAGCCGCCTCAGGCAGGCCCTTGCTTCAGCCGCAGTGGCTTGAAAAACTTGACAAACTGAGCAGCGTCAGGATGTGGCGCTTTACTCCTCCTCCCATCACTGGAGCGAGGTGGGGGAGGGAGCAGCCCCTGAGGAGGATTAAGTTCCAGAAATCCCGGAATCAAGCGCACCATTCTTCAGAGAAGCACAAGAAGCAAGAAAAACACTGAGCTTTTATTGTACAGAGCCCATTCAGGAGCTAGGCATGAAAGGGATGAATGAGTTTTGTGGGAGTGTTTATGCTGGTATGAAAGGGCATTAGGTGTGGAGTCAGGGATCTATCTGAGCTTAAATCTCTACTCTGACACTTACTGTGTAGTGACTATTCCCCACTTAGTTTCCTCATCTGTAAAATGGGATACAAATACTTGAACTCCCCACCTCACAGGGAGGTTATGAGAATCAAGTGCATTGCACGAATTAAAAGTACTGTATAAATATCAGCTATGTTTACACCACTTACTGACTGTGTGACCTTGAGCAAACAACTTAATCTCTGCCTCAGTGTCCTCATCTGTAAAATGATAATAATAATAGCACTTGCTTCTCGGTGTTGTTGTAAAGTGCTTTGCAAATCTTAAAGCTTTATGCAAATGCTAGCTGTCATTTATTATTATTATAGGATGCCATACTTTATGATGACTTGGAATTGGGAGTTATCACATAGTTCGCATATAGTGAGTGCTTACTATGGGTTCAAGTTCTACCTCTGGACCATACTGGCTGTGAGAGTTTAGACAAATCACTTCACTTCTAAGTGCTTCCAGGTAATTCTCTAAGATGATAAATTTCCATACAAACTTTCATGCAAATCACTACTAGTTGGGAGAGTTTCCTCACTGGAGGCTCCCTTACATGGAAAAAAGCACAGGTCTGAACCAAAAATTAATTTAAAAAAACATTAAATTCAGCTCTCTATGACCTGTGTTCATGTTAGTAGATGTGGACTGAATACCTGACTACCATCAGCCATCTTGTAGCTGTGTGCCATTGGTAACAAGTAGTGTGAACATCTCCATACAAAACTACTATCATTTCAATATATTATAAGATCTTTGACTATACTTAATAGAAATTAGTGGTTCACTTACATCTTCATCTATTTACTTCATATATGAATATGTTTATTTTGGCTGTGGATGTATGTTCACTAAGCTAACAATTTTTAAAAATTAAATTTTAAGTTAAAAAAAAAAGATCTTTGACATTATCAGTGTGGGTATCCTTCCAGTAATGCAGATTGTAAAAACTAACATTTTAGCTAAAGGCTTCTCAAGTTACTGTGGCCAAAATAATTCACCATTTCCTAGCCAATACTCTATTGATGAGGCTCAATAAACTTATCTAGAATAGTCCTTAGACAACAGATACAAACCATTGCTGGGCCCACACTTGAAACCTTTCCAGGTTTATAAAACCAGTCAGACCTGAGTTTTCCTGACATAATCTTTAGGAATACAAAGTTGCCTCCACACTATAATATGGCATCTGAGGACTCTATAGAGGAAACCAATTGGCATCACTAGAGAAATAACTCTGAGCATATGTTAGGAGTTCATCATATTTGGCAGTTAGCACAGGGGTTATTACCTTATATTAGTTTTGTATGTATCTGTAATTATTTATTTGTATATATGTTGCCTCTCCCATTAGAATGATAGTTCCTTGAGGACAGAGATTAACTTTTCTCTTCCTATCCTTAGCACTTGGCACAGTGCCTGGCAACGAAGTATTTAAGAAATGTCTGTTGATTGATTGAGATAGTTTTTATGACTGTTGAAAAGAATAAATACAATATGTCCATTCCTTCCTACTCAGTCACTTACTGTCTGTGTAACATTGAACAAGTCACTTCACTTTCTCACCTGTAAAATGAAGTTGGCTTATGTAGCCTGAAGTTCATTCCAACTTTATATCTATGATCCTATGATCTATAATTCAAGAAACTTTCCTTTTTTCCTGCTTTCTAGAAATATGCATAAAAACACACAGACTTATTTGTAGTTCAGTTGTTTTTTAGTCCTATCTGACTCTTCATGACCCCATTTGGGGTTTTCTTGGCAAAGATACTGGAGTGGTTTGCCATTTTCTTCTCCAGCTGATTTTACATACAAGAAAACTGAGACAAACAGGATTAAGTGACTTGGCCAGTGTCACACAGCTAATAAGTGTCTGAGGCTAGATTTGAATTCATGAAGATGAGTCTTCCTGACTCCAGGCCTGATGCTCTATCCACTGTGCCACCTAGCTGCCCTTAGAGTTTACACACACACACACACACACACACACCTGGTGAGGATTGTTCTTTTTATTTATTTTAAAATGTCCTGTCCAAAGAACATTTGGTGTTGGTACATCACAACTACTAGTCAGTGTCTCCAAATTCACTACAGGTTACCAAATTAAGAATAACTGATTTAAAAGAGATCATGTTGTATAGTGGAAAGAGAACAAAATTGGACCTCAGAAGATCTGAATTCTGGTTTCACATCTGCCATTTAACAGCCTTGTGATATTGGAAAGTCACTCCTGCAGCAGCTACCTCACCTGTAATGTAGAGGAGGTGGATAATGGCATGCTTAAAATCCCTCCTAGCTCCAAAATTCTATGGCTGTCATAGAATTTAGAACTGGAAGAAACCCTCTAACCAAAGCCTCTCTTTTTATATGTAAGGAAACTGAAGAATACAAAGGGAAACTGACTTACCCAAGGTGACAGGAATATTAAGTGGCAGATCTAGGTATTTATCCTAATGAAAGACATTATAAGTGAGAAGAAAATCATCCTCGATGGAAATATTAGCAGTAAATTCAATGAGTACTGTCTGAAGTTCATTCTTGCCAGTTCCTGACAATGAGAGATCAAGGCCAGAACTTTTTGACTTTTATAAATGATAGAAGCACTGTAGTTCAATAGACCATATGATAACCTGGAAAGTTTG